TGACTTAGCAAGACCTTGGTATGAAAGGGGTGTGTGTGGCTGGGGATGTAGTTCGTGTGAAGGTCCTAGGTTCAATCCCCAATACTGGATAGGAGAGGTGGGGCAGGAGTCTGCAAGGCCAGAGACAAGGCTGATGCGGGGGGGTGGGGGAGAACTCAGGCAACCGCAGAGAAATTCAGAGCAGGACTGTGGAAAGGAAGGAATTCTGATGGTAGGGTGCAGAGACTTGGGGACTGGAAGTGGGAGGAGTGACAAGAAATGGTATAAATTTAAGGAAACCCCAAATCTACGACCCGGGTGACTGGGTGGTTGGCAGGGCCAGGCCCAAGGTGGGGACATGAGAGAGAAGCAGGATTTGCAGTAGGATGCCAAGGTCATGGCAGGACTTTGGAGTGGGGTGCCCCGGGGCATTCTGGTGAGAAATGTGAGAAGCCTCTGAGTCCCCCAGTCTAGGGGGACCTGTGTCCGGGCTGGGGTGGCATCGGAAGAGGACAAGGAGACTTTGGGTTACTCGTGGACCTTTGGGGCACGGGGGCATTGCAAGGATCAATGTCATTTTGGATCGAGGTAGGTTCTGGAGGAAGAGTGCGGTTGTTGAAGTCGGTGAAGTCACGAGGAAGCATATTGGAGGCTGGTGAAAAATGGGATGTTTGAAGTTAGCATTAATTAGTAGTGGATCACACGAAATCATTGGGGTTTTGTGGCCACATTGGGTCAGCTGGAATTTGGGGGACCCAAATTTGAGGATTTGGGAGTGGGGAGAAATGGTTAGGGACCTTACGCTGTCAGTGGGAAACACTGGAGGTCAGATGGGTGTACTGTTGCGAATTTAAGAAGACACAACACGAGGGCTGGGGATGTAGCTCAGTCGCACAGAGCCTGCCTGGCAAGTGCGAGGCCCTGAGTTCGATTCCCGATACAAAAAAAAAAAAAAAAAAGGCACAAAGATCAACTGGGGTCAGTTCAGACATCGCGGGAAGGCTGTAATACTGACTACGCCTCTTGAGGGTCCCTCCGTTGCTAGGCAAACGGTTCCCAGGGAGCCGTTGTTAGGGACCAGAGCTTTCTAAATAGCCCCGCCCCCTTTCCCTGCGGACCACGCCCCCGCAGCCAACCGCTTTTCAGTCGCAGTCTGGGAGGCCGCGCCCATCTTTGGACCCCGCCCACAGCCTGGAACCGTTACCCCAGCGACGGCGGGGCTTGTCCCGCCTCCGGGCCTCTGTGCCAATCGAAAAGGCGTTGCTGCGGCGACGCTCCTACCTCTTCCGGCGCGGGCCCGCGGTTTCCGGCAGGGGGCCGGGCGGCGGGCGGCGGTCC